AAAGTAGTAATTTTAATCTATATAAAATTATGAATCAAACATATGTGTTTTTACAAGTTAAGTTTTAAAAATACTTACAGGAAAAATATAAATAAAAAATAGTTGACCATGATTTTGTATTGCCTTAACATACAAAAAAAAAGACATGTAATGGCACAAATTCCTATATGTTTTTGTTAAATTACATATAATATACTTATAAAAACATACAAAAAAAGGGATAATGAACCTGCAAAGTGCATTTATTTTACATACAGAAAACCTATATACAACAGCAGTTGTTCATATATGTAAACTCTATGTTTTTTTCACAGTCATACAGTGAAAAAGTGAATAAATTATATGGGACATCTATGGAAAATATATATTGAAATGTACTTTCCTTATATACCACATAAATAGTTTTGATGTGATCCTTATCTTATCCTTTTTATTATCATGTATGAAAGAAATGCAAAAGTGGCCACTTTCAAGAGTAAATCATATAAGTCTTATATGATGCACAATACATGAAGCAAACTAACGGTGACACAAATATTTTATAAGTTTTTTATGTTTCTTTTCCATATGGGCAGCGCCACTGTTGAGGAGGTACTCAGTAGTCACAGCCAGAAGATCAGAGGACAAGAGGTAGCAAAATGAAATCCAGGATGGAGTCAGGAATCAATTCCAGATTTGGTACACAGGCAGAAATCAGCTGAAATCCGAGGACAGACCAGACAAACAGATCAGAACAAGAGACGCAGGCTCAGAGGTCCAGAGGCAGAACAGGTCAGGATCAGGTAATCCAATCACTCAGGTATGCCTGAGAACTCTAAACCAAAGGTTCAAAATAATCTGACACCAATGAATGGTTGAAGGCTGGTTAAATGCAGGCTCAAGCAGGTGGATCAGATGAACGGTAATGGGAGCTGGGCGGAAATAGGCAGGTGTATGGAATGAGTCAAACCAGTCATCAATGCCAAGATCATTAAAATCCAAATCTATTTTTTCACCAAATAACTACATATGTTGTTACATAGAAACAATTATCCATTTTATTAGGCAACAAAATTCTCTGCAATCATAAATTACATTTTTATTTGCTGGTGACTGTTAGGAACAACATAAAGTATTCTTTGTTCTTTTTGTTATTGTTATTTATTGCCAGGTGCATTACACGGCCATAACGGTTAAACTGTAAGCAAAATAAAACAAAATTGCAATACTTAGTACTGTATATGATTCAAATGAACACAACCTAAAATAAAAACAAAACATAGACATAAGCCTCAAATTATATGCATACAGTTCACTCTTTGAACTGTAAATAAAGCTAGCATATCCCTAATTAGCTGCTACTTTATTAGCACTAAACTATCTTCGGCCATAAAACTCACATATAGAATGAAATGTACCTCCCTTTAGCTTACATTTAACATAGACTCACCACATGGGCAATACTCAAAAGTAAGGTAATTTGTAGGTTTATGGTTTAATTTTGCTTGCTTGGTACAGCTAACAACACTTGGTACAGCTAACAATCACTTCCGGTCCGCTGTCTCTTAACTTCTGGTTTGCCATTCCTATAAATAATCAATTCCAAAAGGTGATTATAGAGCCCCCGAGTGGAACTGGAGGAGTGAATCCAACAATGACAGAACTATTGGTCACTACACTTGCAGCTGGCACGTCAGTATCCAGAGGACACTATTTAAATAGTATTTTTTCTCAAAACCACGGACAGACAGTGAGTTCTGTATGAGATCAAGCTACTATTGAAATAACATCTGAAACTAGTGAGTTCAGAATAATGTTCAGCAACTGCCTGAAACCTCTCTAACAGTAACAGTAATTCATTTAAATCCATGGCAGCTGAGTGGCTTTATTACATTAAATGTGGAATGTTTGGGTTTGATTCTGTCTGAATTAGTCGAATTAGGGTTTTGCCATCAACATTTTTATGTTCATGCGTTGTATGGGAGAGATGATAGATGTGGTCTGGACAGTACACGTGAGCATGTATTAAAAGAAAGAAATTTCGCAGAATGATGTGTCATGTTGGTTAAGGGCAAACTCATATTAAGCATTTACATAATATGTTGCATGTTTTGCCTTGGTCAGTAGTTTTAATTTATTTGTATTTTTATACTTTATTGTAACAGTACAATCACAGCATTTATATAGCTGTTGTGATTTATTTCACTGCTTCGCTTTTACTAGTTCTTTAATCTGGCTGTTCATCTTTCAGTCAGCAGAAACACTCTCTCTCTCATGTTTTTTTAAGTCTCTCTTCCTCACCCTCAATGCCATTTCTCTAAATGAAAAAGTGTAGGAATTCGCTTTATGTCAGCTAAAGGCTGAGGTTGCTTTAGGACCAAAATGAAGAGATGAACGAAGCAGAGAGGAGTTCTTGTTGAACTAATGAAAAACTAAGGCAGACATCCAAAAATACAAAATACAAAGAACCAAAAAAACAGAAAACATCAGGGAAAACTCAGGGAGCCAGAGACGAGGGAGAAACTTAGAACAGTAAAGAACCAGCAAATAGTTACAGAACATAAGGTGTATAAATGGGAGACTGACAAAGAGCAGGCTAATTAGCAGATTGGGAGCAGGTGTGGACAGAGGAGTCTAGAGGGGAGCTAGGGAAAAAATACTGACACAAGAGGGCAGCAGAGGGCAAACAATACCTAATAATTCAAATACAATAAAAAATAACTAGATTAACTCAAAATGGAAATGAAAACAAAAAACTAGTAAATACAGACAGTAATGATTGAACAGTGGAGAAATTAACTCTCTGCATTTATCCAATTCCCTTAGGGAGCACTGGGCTGCCACTATGTGATGCCCAGGGACCAGTTTGGGGTTAAGGGTCTTGCTCAGAGACCCAAAGTGCCGGCTGTGGGGCTTGAACTGGGTACATGCAACCTTCTCAGAGCACAAGCACACTGCTCTACCCACTAGGCGAACACTGCCCTATAAAGAAGATCAGCTAATCAAGAACAATAGCCTGAAATGAGAGGCATAAGCCAGGAGAAAAGTAATTTAATTATGTCTGTAATTCTATTGTATTTATTTAGATTTATATGTATTAAGCTGTTTCCTAGTACTCACATAGGCAAATAATGGTATTTAAAGTAGAGCTTGAAACTATTTGCAGTTCAATGCATAAAGGCAAGAGACTGAATAAATGGTAAGACTTTTGTGATTTGAGGTTGAGAAGATTTAAAAAGGTCCATTTGTGTTCTCTGAATGTGAATGATGTTTGGTCAGAGAAGGCAGTTGGCTCATGAATTGGAATTCTTTTGAGGTAACATCCCTTTTTTTTGTTTAAAAAAAATGCTTTCCGCTGTTTAAAACGGAGTAAAACCAACATGCTTTCCAGATGTCCTTTCTAGAAAACGTATACAAACCTGTAATGAACTGTTACAGAGGACACAGTGCTGCATATCATCTAATCCTGTACTGCATGTGTGATACAATGGAGGAAATGGGCTAAAGCCAGGATCAAATCAAAATACGCTCCATTTTCCACAATGCAGTCCTTTCATTCGGCCCTTTTTTATCAGAGGTAATTCAATCATTGAATTTCAAATTTCTCTGCAGCAGGGGAGACAGAAAATTAACTGCTGAAAATATATTAGTCAACTTTTTGTGCAGTTTACAACATAATTATGTTAAAATCTCTTATGGGAATTTGTTGACTCAAAAAGAACCAATCAATGCAAGAAACTCAATAAGCCCGAAGCAAACACTGTAAACATGTAGGCTTTCATTAAGCTTGTATTTATGCACATGGATTATGCTTTGTGCTAATTTAAAGACGCTTTGTGCTGCTGCAGGTCTTTCTTTTGCCTCCAGAAGGAGAAGGTGGTTGTGCCAAGAATAAATTGAATGTTATGTACCAAAAGATTTTTGTTACTGTAGAACTTTTTGATGAGGAAGCTTGTGATGATTTCAAACCTCTTTTTCATTCCATCAGTGGGTAAAAAAAAAAAAAAGAAAAAAGAAAAACATACAGTCACATGTTTTTACATTAGTAATTCTGCAGCAACTCGGGCTGTGCTCAGACAGCTTCATTTCCCACTCATTCATTTTAGTGAGGCGGGGGTGCCAATGCAGGAAATTAAAATAAATGCAAGGTTATCAAACAAAAACTTGCTTGGGTAAAGAGGAATTCCTTGCAGTTTTTTTAGTTTTTTTTTTAAGCAAGTATTTTCAAACACACTTTAGAAAGATTCCTTAATAAATGGAGAAATGAGAGAAAATTTACTAGATATAGTGAAGAAAGGAGAAATTAAACATGCATGAAAGGGATATAAGAAAGATATTTTGATTAATCAAGACATGAAAAAGGGAGGAAAACAGGACTGAAGGACAGAGAGAATGGAAATCTTAGAAAGAAAGGACATAGGGAATGAAAATTAAAAAAAGTATTAAAAATAAGAAAATAAGAAAGTTCACTCACTTGCTTAACTCTGCCTGGTTTTCTAATCATTAATCATCTCATCCACCTGCGTCTGTTCCTTTATAACAGGTTCAGTCCGAGCTAACGGGGCCAGATCATTGTTTGTTTCTTGTCTTTTCGTTTATGCCTGTTAGTTTGTTTATGCCCCAAGGGGCAGTACAGTTTAAAGTTTCCTGCAGATATCCGGGTACCACGTCTTGTCTCTGTCCCTCAACCACTGAGCCTTCCTATCTGCAACTCAGCCCGCCTGTCTGCAACTCAGCGTGTATGTGTGAACATGTTGCTGGACTCTCTGGAACACTGACCCGGCCTAAATGCTCTGTGGATTCCTGGAACCCCGTTTTTGTCAATTGCTATGTGGATTGGAACTCCTAATCGAGCTGTGGACACCTGGATCTCAGAACTGTCCGGTTCTGTTCTGAATCAGTCTCCTGTCAGCTCTCTGTGATTGCTGCATAGAGACACCCTGAATGGCTCTGCGCTGGATCCGGTTTGGCAGTCCATCGGATGGTGCCTGCCTTCTACACAGAGAATGGACTGAACTGTT